ATATCATTTCTTACCTCCCAGAGCCTTATTAAAGGAAAAAACAAATAACCAAGAGGGGTAATGTTTGCTTGTAATCTTAGCACTGGTAAGGCTGAGGCAGAAGGATCATAAGGTTGAGGGCACCCTGAAATTACATAATGATTTCTTAATAGGCCTGAGCAACATAAGACTTTGGGGGATGTGGGGAGCAGGAGAAGCAATAACAGAACAATCTGAAAGATGTATGAAAATTGTGCCTGCCTGCCTCATGGGAGATACTGGGAGGAAGTCAACAAAGACTAGAGACTCCTAGCAGGAAGACATTTCCTAGTTCAATAGTCTGCCTCAGTAGTTTGCTAATGTTAGCAAAATAGCCCCTGGATAAAGATTGTCCTCACCCTTAGAGATTTTGTGAGTAGGTTTTGTTTGGAGCCTGAGAATTCATTCATAGTCTCTGTCTCTCTCTCTCTGTCTCTCTGTCTCTCTCTCTCTCTTTCTCCCTCCTTTCCTCCCTCCCTCCCTTCCTCCCTCCTTTTTTCCTTCCTCTTTCCCTCATTCCCTTCCACCCTCTTCCTCAAGTTCTTTGGTATTCATGATGCTGGTTTAGGGACCACACTTTGAAAACCTCAATAGATAGACATGTACCTGTTGGCAGTGTGGTTTCTTCTCTCTCTGTCCAGACGGCTTCTGTATGGCCAAATTCTGGTCTGTTCAATAATTTCTTTCCACCTTCATATTGAGCTGCACTTTCTGCCATCACTTAAAGATTGGATCACATCTGCTTGAAACTTGGGGTGATAACAGGCTGATAATGTGATACACTCACATTGGATCTCGTCCCAGCTTTGTATTATAGTGCTGATTCCTAGCACCTAACACCACTTTCATCCTGCTGACCCAGACTCTGAATGTGGGCATAATGACTCTCAGATTTGTTGATTACTTAATCTTCGCAGCAACTCTTTGAATGGATATTGTTACCCATTTTATGTATGGAGAAATGGAAGGTTAAAACGTGGCTAGAAAGTATCTGCCAGAGAAACAGGGATCTTTGTCTGTTTTATTCTGTTATTGTCAAAGTGTCTAGAGCAGTGGCCGACCATGCTGATGTTCAACAAATGTTTACTGGTTGACTGAAAGGTCATGAGCAAGAGGGGTCCAAGATGTGAAGCAATTGTGCCTTAAGCGCTATTCCATATTAGCCTTATTTTAGCCACTTTTCCTTTATCACTACCTGAATCAAACTCATCTTTTACATAAATTATAAGTTCTTTTGAGTCCATTATCATTGTTTTGTGTTGATTCCTCATTCCCCATTTCTGCTGTTTTCTCTCCTCATTAAATAGTTGCTTTTGTTTATTGAAATATTTCTTGTTCTTATGTTGTCTACACAACTTTTATCAAATGCCTCTTTCCCCCCTCAAGGTAAATTCAATGCATATAACTCTGTTCTCAGACAGGGAGGTAGTGTGGAATAAGAATAACAAAGGAATTAAAATCAGGGTTCTGTGGATAAGTCATATCTTCCCTGGTTCAGTCTCCCCAGCTATATAACCTTAGGAGTTGGAAAGATGATTTCTTCCTGCTCAAACACAGCAGTTTGTTTTGTTTTGTGTTTTACTCTTTGCTCTTTGGATTACTGCCACCCAGCTCCCAAATAAATACATGGAGACTTATTCTTGCTCATGAATGTCCTGCCTTAGTTTGACTTTTTTATAGCCAGTTTTTCTGAACCTAAATTATCCCATTTATCTTTTGCCTCTGGGCTTTTACCTTTCTGCATTCTATTTTCCTTTCTTTCCTTCTTACTCTTGGCTGGTTGTGTAACTGGGTGACTTGCTCCTGGTGTCCTCTCTCCTTCTCTTTTTATCACCCCTCCCTTTTCTTCTCTTCTTCTATATATTCTCTCTGCCTGGCAGCCTGACTATCCCTCTCTCCTGCCTTGCTATTGGTCATTTAGCTCCTTAGTAGGCCAATCAGGTGTTTTAGACAGGCATAGTAACACAACTTTACAGAGTTAAACAAATGTAACATAAAAGAATGCAACACATCTTTGCATCATTAAACAGATATTCCATAGAATAAATGAATGTAACTAATATTCCACAACAAAACACTGTGCAGTGGTTAGATGCAGGGCTTATGGCACTGTAGTCAAAATCAGATAGGGGAAGAGTTGAGAGTCCAAAGGGGTGTAGAATAAAATAAATGCATGCATTTTAGTAAGATGAGAGCAGTGTAAGCGCCAAAATCAAATACTGAAATGAATAAATAGCTATAAATAAACAAGATATGGTGTTGCACACTTCTAGTCCTATCACTTGGGAGGCAGAGCTAGGAGGATGTTGACATCCAGGCCAACCCGGGCTACAAAGCAAGTTCAAAGCCAACCGTAGATGTATAGTAGTAAGATCTTGCCTCAAAAAAGAAACAAAGGCTGGAGGTATAGTCCAAAGACAGAGTTCTTGCCTAGCCCATGCAAAGCCTGGGTTTGATATCCAGAACAAAAAAAATAAGTGATGTTTAAAGGCCTGTTCTCATGAGGGAGGAAGAAATCATATCTGCTTATTATGTGGCAGCGGTATCTTCTGATGTCAGCCCATATCTAACATCCTAATCCTCTCACTCTTTGAGGTAGAAAGGCTGCTGAGGTTCTAACAGCTGTAAGCCGGGTGATGGTTGCACAAACACTAACTCTATAATCCAGAAATTGTCTGCTCAAGACACACAAATTGTTTAAATGTTTGAGAAATTGCTCACAGTGGCAAAGAGAAATGTCATGTCCTTGATAAATACACCATGACTTACTCTACCATTTATTAGTTAGGTGGCCTTGAGCAGAAAACATTTTCTCAGAGCTTTGGCTTCACTTCTATTCCCATGTAGAAATCGGTGATAATAATAGCACCCTGCGAGATCTCTGTAAAGAATAAGTTAAATGGACTGTCTAAGGCTGTTCATGTGATACCTAGAACACAGTAGACACCTATATCTAAACATGTCCATGTTCAGGATGCCTTAAAACCCTCAAAGAAGAAAGAGTTTACAACAACAGTGTTTGCTTAGACTCTGTCCTTGCATATATTCAGATTCTGTAAAGTGTGTGCCACATTTATCTGGGACATTTCCCTACCTGTTTTATAACTTTAAGATCAGGATAGAAAGGAAAAGCAGAACACATGCCTGACAGGAGAACCAAGGAACCAAGCAAGCATTATTATTTCTCCATCCAAGTGATGTGATGAAGATTGGAAGGTGTAACATGAGGGCCGGCTTGTTGGGGTATCTGTTCCCGCCTAGTACCCCACAGCCGGCAAGTCCCAGAGAAAATCAATCACACAGAGATCTCTATAAGTTATAAAGCTGATTGGCCCATTAGGTTAGGCTACTTATTAGTTCTTATGACTTATCTTAACCCATTATTCTTATCTACGTTAACCATATGGCTTGGTACCTTTTTCAGCTGTCAACTCACATGTTGCTCCTTCCATGGTCTGGGCAGAAATGGAGGAATACGCTTCCTCCTTCCTAGCCTTCTCCTGTTCTCATTGCCCCACCTCTACTTCCTGTCTGGTTGACCCGCCTATACTTCCTGCCTGGCCAATCAGTGTTTTATTAAAATACATGATTGACAGAATACAGATAATTCTCCCACACCGGGAAGGAGCAGTTAGTTACATCATGGCCAGTGTGGACTAACGGTGTCTTTTCAGGTTGAATGTATAATCATCAAGCTTTTAAATATGAATGTGGGTTAAGTGTGTAGTTCAGCAGTAGAGAATTTGCTTGACATGTATAAGGCCCTGAGTTTGAGTCTCAACAACACTTTTGAACAAAAACAGGATGGTTGTTGCTGTAGCTAATATCAACAGTCATCATTCTGATGGCTACCAACGGAAGTCTTTGTTTCAGAAAAATAAATCAGTTTTGCTAAACTTTGGAATTAGGAAATATGCATTTAGGGTATGAAGTTTTAATTTAGAAGTCAAGTAAAATCTTACCATCCTGTTAGTCACTAAATATTTGACAGTTGCTGTAATGGTAAACATAGTTCTAAACACAGAGGTATACCATAATGATTAGAACAAAAATTCTCAACTTTTTGGAATAGGAGATGAAGAAAATAACCAATGTAAATCAGTAAACCAGTAAAATAAATACCATATTAGTAAGTCGTTAAGATGAAGCAAGAATAGACAGGAAAGGAGATGAAAATATCAGTAGAATGAGATCCTTATATGTTAGATGAGATGGCCATGGACATTTTATTGACAAGGTATTTCCAAGGTAAAACCTGAATGCCAGAAAATGTGTATGAGAAATGTGAGGGGGACCTTACTTTACAAGTCCCAAGGTGGGAGATGCTTATCGCTTCTACAGAGCAGCCACATAGGAGGTCAGGGCTGATAGAGGTGAAAGTGGCCAAAAACCAGGTTAGAGGGAAAGCAAAGGCCAACATAGAGTGTTTTATGGACATGTCAAAGACTGGAATGAGAAGAAAACTACCAGAGAGTTTTATACAGGAAAAATGTTAAGACATTCTAGACCATATTTTCATTGACTGCTTACTTGGTTTACTCTGCGAGTTTAATTCAAAGGTTTTGATTGTGTTTTCAGTGCTGGAAATTGAACTAAGGGCTTCATGTTCTACCACTGAGCTATATGCCCAGTCCTCAAGTGTTTTATTTGTTCTCACAATAACTTTTTGAGGTAGGAAAAACTATATTCCCTATTTTACAGCTTAGGAAACAGAAGACCAAAGGGTTAAATAAGTTGTTGAAGGTCCCACCAGCTAGGAAGGACAAAATCAGACTCAGGCCCAGGTAAATGTGAGTATCTTTGTGTTACTCTTCCAAATGCTTAAAAGATTGAGAGCAAGTGTTACTATAGTTGTTTTTCCTTCTTTTTTTTAGTTATCAGTATTACCAGATCACATTTAGAATAAAATTAGTTCATTCTCTTTCATGAATATTGAACTTCTTAAGCTGGTAAAAATATTCTCAGCATTTTGATTTATAATTTCAAAGTTTAAAAAAACACTGAATTTTTCATGTTAATAAGCATGTTGGTGAGCCAGACAGTGGTGCACACCTTTTAATCCCAACACTTAGGAGGCAAAGGCAGGTGAATCTCTATGAGTTTGAGGCCAGAGTGAGTTCCAGGACAGCCGAGACTACCCAGAGAAACCCTTTCTGGAAAAGCAAAAACATATTGGTGCACTTCTCTTTAGTTATGTAGACAGCTGTTGGTTGTTTGCTTATAATGTATTGGCTGGTTGGGAAATTTTGTCTTATTGCTTACACTCTTACCTTAGTGCCATCTAAATCACCACTGTATGATTTCCTATTTATAATTTATCATTTTCTCTGTCGTTAGATGAAACATCCCTTAAAGCATGCCACAGCAAGGTGAGCAAAAGTCAGGCTTGCAAAATTTTGGAAAAATAATTGCAAAGCTTCATTAAAGAATAATGAAAGTTGATTCATATAGTATCAGCGCTGCCCAGTTTAGCAAACATCATTATTCCAAGTCATATTTAGAGGCACCCAAACTTCAGCATTTATATTTCTCAAGCAATCTTTTAGGGAATAACAACAACAACAACAAAACTCCTTTAGTAAAGGCTCTAAAAGTAAAATCACTAATTCCCATTTTTTTTTTATTTCATGAGGGCTAAGATAGAAACAATGGACATTTTAAAACAGGGAACACAGATTCCTTTCACTCTGCTGTAGCTTTAGCATTCCACCTTGGTAGCCAGCCAGAAGTTTTGGCTTCTGGGGCCAGTTGCCTTTTGCATGCTGATTTTCCTGATGAAGTCCCCCAAGAGTTTCTTCTTTGGAGCAGAGTCTATGGACTTCAGCCCTGTAGCGAGTGGGATAGCAGAGTGCGGGATGCAAACATTGAGGGAACAGTCTCTCACAGACGAATCAGTAACATAGTCCCATTTTAGGTTTCTGGCTGCCAGCAAACGTACCTGTTAGGCCCTTATCACTGAAGGATCACAACCAGGACTTCAGCAAAAATACTGAGTGTTCTGGCCCAGCACTTTGCAGCAAATAAGTGAAGCACAGGAATGCATATTTATGCACACGTGCAAACCATGTGTCTGTGTTCCCACATTCAAGTATTTATAGAACTAGTAATAGCAAGAATGGTCAAAAAGATTTTGTGGTCTTTTTTCATAAACACTGTTCAATATTGTTTATTCCAACCATTCACAACGAAAGGGAATAATAAGGCCAGACTCAAGTCCCCAGAAATGGTATTATTGAGTATGTGTGGTAAAACTGGGAGATATTTATTGTTGGTAATAGACTTTAGGTGAGAGTTGTGTTGGTATTGAAACTGCATCAAATCTAAAATGGTCTTTCGAGAGGAAGTGGTTATTTTGGTGTGTCTTGTGGCCAGTTTCAATTAGTCATAAATTAGAGAGTGCCACACTTTTTTGAAAGGATCAAAAGCCAACACTTGGCCTTAAACTCCCTCACCTCTGCCCTTGCTGACCCTAACAAGAAGTCATCGCTCTTTGTGAACTCAGCAGTTGCTATCAGGTCTTGCCATTCCACTGCAGAAAAGAGCCGGAGCTGTCAGCCTGTCAGGAGGAGATTGAGGAGCCAGGGGCTTTCTGTAGAGTGCCAGCCTTCTGCCCATAAAGAATTCTCTAAACTCATCAATGCAAAATTGACATGTTTTAAAGTGTCCAGTGAAAGGCTCAGAAGCCGGTTTGCTGCCGCTTGACGACTGTGCTCTCGTTGCTCAGATTCTATTTTCCATTTTCCTTCAGTTCTTCAGCACTTATCTGTATACTCGATAGTATACTAGACAAACAACTCTCCTGTCCTCAGTCAGCACAGAGCTCACAGCTGTGGTGTCGTGGTACTTGATGCTGTGATTAATTGCCAATTACAAACATCTGATGAATATTTTAAACCCTTCCTTAGATGACTTGTTTTATAGCTGACATATATGGTTAGTTGAAAAGACCGAGGCTATGAAGTTTGTTGTCACAAAAAGCAGAATTGAGTCCAAGTGTCATGCTTTCCTGATCTCTAATGAGTATTTTGCTCTTTTGATACCTAAACCATACCTGTGCCTTATGGTCCAACTCAGTTCCGGCCTCGTACCCAGTCCTTCGCTGGCAGTCCTCGCTGAGACCCACCTCATGGCCTATGACCAACGCCGCTGGAGTGTCATCAGATGCAGCATTCATGCCCTGACTTCACATCAGAGCTTATATGCATTGCTTCTTCAGCCTTTCTTGCAGTACCTAGAACAGTGCTGAGCACATGTGGAAGCTCAGTGGTAGCAATGAGTAGCACCAACCTAAGGCATCTCGTCAGTACCCCAGAAGCATGCAGCTTAACTTCCAGGCAGGCCATTCCAGGAATACATTGGTCAGCTGGTGGCTTGGCGATTGAAATCACTGTTGACTACCACCCACAGAAAAATGTGAAGCAAATTATATGCCTTATCATTTCCATTAGGGAATTACTAGTGAGTATAAAAAGGGGGAAATTAATGGACTAGATAAAGAAAAGAAATACAGAACAGAGGAAAAGAACTGGTTTGGAAAAGGCAAAACCCAAATCCTAGCATTCTCATTCTTGGATGTAATATGTTTCCTTTTTTCATGACAAAACATCAAAGAGTCCTTGCAAATCATTTAATTGATGGTTGTTGGCCCATCTTATTGCTGTGTGCAGAAATAACTGTCTGTTTCAGTTTGAATTAGGAACAAACTGGAAGGGCAGTTGCTTTGGAGAAAATCAGTAAATGCAGAAGCCTAGTAACACTGGTATATTGTGGCAGTGAGAAATGACAACTCAAAAAGAGGCTATCTTCTCACTTATTGGTCATGCTCTCAGCTTCCATGGGATTTCTCACTTTATAGGCTGGGCTTCCCACTGGCAGCAGCTGAAGCAGGTTATTATGTACATGTGTCACGTGGTCCACTTCATCACCCAAATGGAACTGGGAGAGTAAGTCCCCCTAACAAGCCCCTTCAGTACAGTCATAAAAACTACTTACAGATGTACTCTTCCTCTGTAGGGACACAAGGAGTTTCCTTGTGCTGTGCCCCATGATACAGGAAATGCATTATCCCCATCCAAATTCAGGCATATGAGGAGGAAGCATGTGAAAAGAAAGCAGCTCACAAAAGCTCACACAGCGTTTGGAAAAGTCCTCAGAGGGGCTCACATACCCGTTTATGATAACGGCAGATAAAATCCCGTCTCTGAAGCTCAGTTCATTTCAAATGCTAATGTCCACACAGGGAAAGGAAACCACATCAGCATTCAGCTTTGACACAAACACTGCTAATCCTTTTTATTTATGATTGTCACTGAGCCCCTCTGCAGCATGCCAGGTCTCCATTTGTCTTCCAGCGTTGGCTACTTTGTGTGCTTCACTCGGAGGTTAGTTGTACTTTTTAAGTACTGTTTTGGATCTTGAATCGGGAGCCAGTATGTTCATATTCAGATCAGCTTGAATTGGATATTTCTGTAGAATCATCCTGTTCAGAGTTAGATTTGTCTGCCATTGTTAAATCTCCTGTTTCACATGGTGTGGTCAATTCATGATTAATGCAGTCAACGAACAAATACTAAAATGTAACCCGTGTCCCACTATCCTAGGCACTGGCGATACCACAGGGAATAGAGTCCTATATTTATACAGATAATAATTTAGAGGGGAGTCAGGAAACAGAGAAATATGTCAGACAGTCTGTCAGTCAGGATAGATTACATTGTTTTGTGGCAATAAACACCTTCGTCTCGCAGAGGCTTGAAACAGCAATGTTTATTCCAGGGGGGGCTGGAGAAATAACTCAGTGGTTAAGAGCGCTATCCTCCCAGAGGACCCAGGTTTAGTTCCCAGCAACCATGTCAGTTCGAAAAACAAAAACAACAACAAAGTTTATTCTTTATCACAGCGTATTCACTGAAGGGCAGAAGGAGGGACTCTCCTCTGGGTCACTTCCATCCAGCACCCAGGCTACCCAGAGAACCACCATGGAGTAAGGCTAGTCTCGGGTAGAAGATCAAATGGTGAGCTGTACACTGACTCTCAAAGCTTACAGTGTGATACATGGCACTTCTCTTAGTTTCTGGGCCCAAACAAGCCTCGGTTACAAATGGTCAGAAAGAGCAGTCAGACCACCTGCTCAGAAAGTGAAAGGCCTCCCCCAGATGCTGATGAGGAAAAGTAGGGTACAGGATATATACCTGAGGAGGCTGTTTCTATTTGGCATAGAAAGTCCAAAAGAGTCTCCCTACAGTGGTTTCTGAGGAGCTTTCTCAGGCTGTGGGCAGAGGGCAAATTCCTGAAGAGGAAGCTGCAAGAGCAAAGTCAACCTGGTTTGTTCCAGGAAGATGAGGACGTCTGGGGGGCTGGAGCAAGCAGACAAGGAGGCAGATGTCTAAAATTAGGTCACAGGGGTTACAGGTCACAGGACACAAGGTAGACCCTTCTTGTAAAGGGATCTGGCTCAGGTAGATTTTTGTATGAAGAGAAGGTTCAAGTCTTTTAAAATATTTTCCTTATAAAAATATTACATCATAGTAGATGCTCACTGTTGATTGCATGGAGGCATTAATCTTACCGTCTTAGCAGGTTACAAAGAAGCAAGAATGTTTATGAGAAAATCAACAGTGTCACTGCTAAGAGACAGTGGCACTACTAGGAGTTTGTTATTTAGTATGGTTCTGAACAATGGGCATATTTTACATATTCTTTTACAAGAAATTTATTTTAAAACAATAGCATTTTTTCCTAATTATATAAAAAAAAATCCTATTGTGAATGTTTGGGCAAACCCTGAAAACCCAAAAGGAGAATCCAAGAGTCCTTCATAGGCCCGTTGTACAAGGCTGCTGTTAGTGTTTGGGTATATTCCCAGTCTTTTTTTTTTTTTTTTTTTTTTTTTTTTTTTTTTTTTGAGCACCGGCAGGCAGGCTCTGTAAGGCCAGTCACTAGCCTCCCTGTGCTTCAGGTTCCTCATCAGTACAGTGAAAGTAGGAACACCTGCTTTGTAAGGTTATGTAAAGTATAAACAAGGTAAATAACAAATTTCTTACACAGTCTAATACCTGGCACAAAATAACTGCATGGAATTGTATACTGTTTTTGCATATTTCTAAATAGTTATCATACTTTATACATTATTTTATTTTTTTAATATGGTGTCATCAGTATTTCCCCAAATTTTTATTTCTTTTATACATAGTGAGACAAGATAAGGTCTCACAATGTAACCCTGTTTGTCCTCAAACTCACTGCTATCCTCCTGCCCTTCCAAAATGTTTTTAATGACTGTATTACTTGAACAAATAAATTTCTCTTAATTATTCCCCTTTTGTTGGACTTTCTTCTTTAATATGTAAGTGTTGAGACAGTTTCAGTTTCTCAGAAAAATACAAAACCCTTCTTTGCCTCTAAACAACTTGAAATAATTCGCCAACTTGATTTCCTCATCATTTACAAATACCGTAGTGAAAGATTTCCAACAAGACATTCCCCTACATAACTCAAGTTCAGACAGCAAAATAGCAAATTAACATAAATATTTATATTTTTGAGACAAGGTTTCTCTGTGTAACTGCTTTGACTGTCCTGAAACGCACTTTATAGACCAGCCTGGCCTTAAACTCACAGAGATCTGCCTGCCTCTGTCTCTTGAATACTGGGATTAAAAGTATGCACCCCCATCCCATTGCCCAGCTCTCTTTTTTAAAACTTTTTTTTTTAAAAAAAAAAATTGTTTGTGTGTTTTCCACATGTGTGCAGGTGTCTGTGGAGTCGGAAAGGGACATCAGACCCCCTCATGAAATCGGAGGTGCAAGCAACTGTGAGCCACTGGGTGTGGATGCAGGATGAAAACCAAACACAAGCCCTTTGGAAGAGCAGCAGATGCGCTTAGTCACTGAGATACTTCTCAAGCCCTCTCCATTTCTAAACAGATTCTAACTTACAGAAAAGGGTTCCAGCCCAAAACTACGTATTTAAATTATCAGTCATGTCTTAATCCCTCTTTTGTCTGGTATACTAGAGTTGTTAGGAGCGTTGTGGAGACAGTACATGTGTGTCATGCTCTATAGCCTGTCTACTTTGACTTTAACAGCCTCTGATGGAGAATTTTTCTGGACACTTTCCTTGCCCCACCTAGGCTCTGATATCTTACTTCAAGTCATTTCTCTTTGGCCATGCCCCCTTCAGCTTGCCTGAACTCCAACACACACACTAGGTTACATTTTGCAAAAAGATTCCCGTATTTTATGTGGGATCTAAAATCATGTTCCAGATTGCACCTATATCCTCAGCCCACCTGTGTAGGGGAATTGCTACAGTAGTGTTGCAGGGATATCCTGACTTATTGGGAAGCCAGGATATACTGAGAGCCGCAATAGGACAGCCCTGGAGGGGAAGAGCTGCAGTAGGACAGCCCTGGAGGGGTAGAGCTGCAGTAGGACAGCTCTGGAGGGGG